CCAGGAATAATCAGGGCTGGATTTTCCCGGGAATAACTGGGGCCAGATTTTTCCTGGGAATAACCGGAGATGGATTTTCCCGGGAATAACCGGGACTAAATTTTTCCTGGAATAACAGGATGGATTTTTTCTGGGAATAACCGGGACTTGATTTTCCTGGGAATAACCGGGACTAAATTTTTCCTGGAATAACGAGGTCAGGATTTTTCCGGGAATAACGGTGTCTGGATTTTTCCTTGGAATAACTGGGACTGGAATTTTCCTGGGAATAACGGGGTCAGGATTTTCCCAGGAATAAACGGGGCTGGGTTTTCCCAGAATAACCAGGGCTGGATTTTTCCTGGAATAACGGGGGTCAGGATTTTTCCTGGGAATAACCGGGGTTGGATTTTCCCGGGAATAACTGACGCTGAATTTTCCCAGGAATAACGGGATGGATTTTTCCTGGGAATAACGGGGTCAGGATATTTCCCGGGAATAACCAGGTGTGTGGATTTTTCCCGGGAATAACGGGGTCTGGATTTTTCCCGGGAATAACCAGGACTGGATTTTCCTGGGAATAACGGTGTGTGGATTATTCCCGGGAATAACGGTGTGTGGATTATTCCTGGGAATAACCGGGTCAGGATTTTCCTGGGAATAACGGTGTGTGGATTTTCCCGGGAATAACAGGGTCTGGATTTTCCCGGGAATAACAGGGTCTGGATTTTCCCAGGAATAACGAGGTCAGGATTTTCCTGGGAATAACTGTGTGTGGATTTTTCCCGGGAATAACGCTGTGTGGATTTTCCTGGGAATAACCGGGGCTGGAGTTTTCCGGGAATAACAGTGTGTGGATTTTCCCGGGAATAATGGGGTCAGGATTTTCCCGGGAATAACCGAGGCTGGATTTTTCCCGGGAATAACGGGGTGTGGATTTTCCCGGGAATAACACTGTGTGGATTTTTCCCGGGAATAACGGGGTGTGGATTTTCCCGGGAATAACACTGTGTGGATTTTTCCCGGGAATAACGGGGTGTGGATTATTCCCGGGAATAACGCTGTCTGGATTTTTCCCGGGAATAACCGAGGCTGGATTTTTCCCGGGAATAACGGGGTGTGGATTATTCCCAGGAATAACCAGGACTGGATTTTCCCGGGAATAACCGAGGCTGGATTTTCCTGGGAATAACGGTGTGTGGATTGTTCCCGGGAATAACGAGGTCAGGATTTTCCCAGGAATAACCAGGGCTGGTTTTTCCCAGGAATAACGCTGTGTGGATTATTCCCGGGAATAACCGAGGCTGGATTTTTCCCGGGAATAACGGGGTGTGGATTATTCCCGGGAATAACGCTGTGTGGATTATTCCTGGGAATAACGGGGTGTGTGGATTATTCCTGGGAATAACCGGGTCAGGATTTTCCCGGGAATAACGGGGTCAGGATTTCCCGGGAATAACGCTGTGTGGATTATTCCCGGGAATAACGGGGTGTGGATTATTCCCGGGAATAACGGTGTGTAGATTATTCCCAGGAATAACGGGGTGTGGATTATTCCCGGGAATAACCGGGTTTGTGGATTATTCCCGGGAATAACGGGGTGTGGATTATTCCCGGGAATAACCGAGGCTGGATTATTCCCGGGAATAACCAGGACTGGATTTTCCCGGGAATAACGGGGTGTGTGGATTATTCCTGGGAATAACGGGGTTAGGATTTTCCCGGGAATAACCGGGTGTGTGGGTTTTTCCCGGGATCAGCGGCCGGACCAAGGAGGCGCTGCTGGAGCTGCGGGCGGCGCTGGAGGGGAATCCCGGGATCGCGGCGCACTTCCCGGTGGAGATCCGCTTTTCCCGGCGGGATGAGATCCTGCTCAGCCCCTGCTTCCGCCGCGACAGCTGCTTCATCAACGTCATCCTCTACAGGTCACAAATCCCGGGAATTCACAGGCCCCTTTTCCCGGGAATTCACAGCCTTTTCCCACGGAATTCCAACCCCATTTTCCCAGGAATTCCCAACCTTTTCCCAGGAATTCCAACCCTTTTCCCGGGAATTCCCAACCCCCTTTTCCCAGGAATTCCCAACCTTTTCCCAAGGAAATTCCAACCCTTTTCCCAGGGAATTCCCAACCTTTTCCCAAGGAAATCCCACCCATTTTCCCAGGAATTCCCAACCCCCATTTTCCCAGGAATTCCCAACCCCTTTTTCCCCAGGAATTCCCAACCCCCTTTTCCCGGGAATTCCCAACCCCATTTTCCCAGGAATTCCCAACCCTTTTTCCCAGGGAATTCCCAACCTTTTCCCAGGGAATTCCCAACCCCCTTTTCCCGGGAATTCCCAACCCTTTTCCCAGGAATTCCCAACCCTTTTTCCCAGGGAATTCCCACCCATTTTCCCAGAAATTCCCAACCCTTTTCCCTTTTCCCAGGGAATTCCCAACCCTTTCCCAAGGAATTCCCACCCATTCTCCCAGGAATTCCAACCCCCCTTTTCTCAGGGAATTCCTAACCTTTTCCCGGGAATTCCCAACCCTTTTCCCTTTTCCCAGGGAATTCCCAACCCCCTTTTCCCAGGAATTCCCAAACCCCTTTTCCCGGGAATTCCCAACCTTTTCCCAGGAATTCCAACCCTTTTCCCAGGAATTCCCAACCCTTTTCCCTTTTCCCAGGGAATTCCAACCCCTTTTCCCAGGGAATTCCCAACCCTTTTCCCAGGGAATTCCCAACCCATTTTCCCCAGGAATTCCCAACCCCTTTTCCCGGGAATTCCCAACCCATTTTCCCAGGGAATTCCCAACCCTTTTCTCAGGGAATTCCCAAGCCTTTTCCCAGGAATTCCCAACCCTTTTCCTGGGAATTCCCAACCCTTTTCCCAGGGAATTCCCAACCCCCTTTTCCCAGGGAATTCCCAACCCTTCTCCCTTTTCCCAGCCCGGCTCCGCCGCATCCCGGGAATTTCTCCCGGCGGGAATTTTTCCCGGGTTTTTTTTTCGGGATGTTTTGGTGGGGGGGGGAATCCTGAGGATGATGGAGGTGGGAAAATTTGGGATAATTCGGGATAATCTGGGATAATTCGGGATAATCTGGGATAGTCCAGGATAATTTGAGATAATCTGGGATAATCTGGGATGATCAGGGATAATTCAGAAAAATTTGGGATAATTTGGGGATGATTTGGGGTAATCTGGGATAATTCAGGATAATTTGGGAACATTTGGGATTATTCAGGATAATTTGGGATAATCTGGGATTATTTGGGATAATTCAGGGTAACCTGGGATTACTTGGGATAATCTGGGATAATTTGGGACAATCTGGGATAATTCTGGACAATTTGGGGATAATTTGGGATGATTTGGTGATAAACTGGGATAATCTGGGATAATTTGGGATAATTTAGGATAATTCAGGATTATCTGGGATAATCGGATGTTATTTGGGATAATCTGAGATAATCTGGAATAATCAGAGATAATCGGAGATAATTTAGGATAATTTGGGATTATCTGGGATAATTTGAGATAATTTGAGATAATTTCGGATAATTCAGGATGATCTGGGATAGTCCAGGATAATTTGGGATAATCTGAATTATTTGGGATTATTTGGGATAATCTGGGATAATCTGGGATAATCGGAGATAATTTAGGATAATTTGGGATGATCTGGGATAATTCGGGATAATTTGGGGTAATCTGGGATTATTTGGGATAATTTGGGGTAACCTGGGATAATTTGGGGTAATCTGGGATTATTTGGGATAATTCGGGATAATTTGGGATGATCTGGGATAATTTGGGGTAATCTGGGATTATTTGGGATAATTTGGGGTAATCTGGGATTATTTGGGATAATTTGAGATAATTTAGGATAATTTGGGGTAATCTGGGATTATTTGGGATAATTTGGGATTATTTGGGATAATCTGGATTATTCGGGATAATTTGGGGTAATCTGGGATTATTTGGGATAATTTGAGATAATTTAGGATAATTTGGGATTATTTGGGATAATCTGGATTATTTGGGATAATTTGGGATGATCTGGGATAATTTGGGGTAATCTGGGATTATTTGGGATAATTCGGGATAATTTGGGGTAATCTGGGATAATTTGGGATAATTTGGGGTAATCTGGGATTATTTGGGATAATTTGAGATAATTTAGGATAATTTGGGATGATCTGGGATAATTTGGGGTAATCTGGGATTATTTGGGATAATTTGGGATAATCTGGATTATTCGGGATAATTTGGGGTAATCTGGGATTATTTGGGGTGTTCCGGGGGGAAGGAAAGGTTGGGAATNTCCCAAATCCCCGGGAAGGGGAGGGATCCGCATCAGGGACCCCATTCCTGATCCCGAGATCCCAAATCCAGATCCAGGGACCCCATTCCCAATCCCGAGATCCCAAATCCCTGGAAAAAGAGGGATCCGGATCAGGGACCCCATTCCCAATCCCGAGATCCCAAATCCCTGGAGGAAGACGGATCCGGATCAGGGACCCCATTCCCGGTGGGACTCCCAGGATCCCAAATCGCCGGGAAGGGGAGGGATCCAGACTGGGGACCCCATTCCCGATCCACGGATCCCAAATCCAGATCCGGGACCCCATTCCCAGTGGGACTGTCCAAATTCCAAGATCCCAAATCCCTGGAAAGAGAGGGATCCGGGTCAGGATCCGCATCCCCAATCCTGGGATCCCAAATCCAGATCAGAGACCCCATTCCCAGTGGGATCGTCCCAGTCCCAGGATCCCAAATCCCTGGAAAAAAGAGGGATACGGATCGGGGGCCCCATTCCCGATCCACGGATCCCAAATCCAGATCCGGGACCCCATTCCCAGTGGGACTGTCCGAATTCCAAGATCCCAAATGCCTGGAAAAAAGAGGGATCTGGATCAGGGACCCCATTCCCAGTGGGATTGTCCCAGTCCCAGGATCCCAAATCCCTGGGAAGAGGAGACCCCATTCCCACTGGGAATCTGAGCATGGAGATCCGTCTGGATCCTGATCCCGGGATCCCAAATCCAGATCGGGGTCCCCCATTCCCGGCAGAATTCCCGGGATCCCAAATCCGGATCGGGATCCCCCATTCCCAGCAGAATTCCCGGGATCCCAAATCCCCGGGAAGGGGAGGGATCCGGGTCAGGGCCCCCATTCCCGATCCCGAGATCCCAAGTCAGGATCAGAGACCCTATTCCCAGAAGAATTCCCAGGATCCCAAATCCGGATTGGGATCCCCCATTCCCAGCGGAATTCCCGGGATCCCAAATCCCCAGGAAGGGGAGGGATCCGGGTCAGGGCCCCCCATTCCCGATCCCGAGATCCCAAATCGGGATCAGAGACCCCATTCCAGATCCGGGAATACCAAATCCAGATCCAGGACCCCATTCCCAATCCCGGGATCCCAAATCCGGATCAGGGTCCCCCATTCCCAGCAGAATTCCCAGGATCCCAAATCCCCGGGAAGGGCAGGGATCCGGATCAGGGCCCCCATTCCCGATCCCGAGATCCCAATTCCGGATCAGAGACCCCATTCCCAGTGGGATCATCCCAGTCCCAGGATCCCAAATCCCTGGGAAGAGCAGGGATCCAGATTGGGGACCCCATTCCCAATCCCGGGATCCCAAATCCAGATGGGGGCCCCCATTCCCGATCCCGAATCCCAAATCCCTGGAAAAAAGAGGGATCTGGATCAGGGGTCCCATTCCCAGTCCCGGGATCCCAAATCCCTGGGAAGAGGAGACCCCATTCCCACTGGGAATCTGGGCATGGAGATCCCTCTGGATCCCGATCCCGGGATCGCAAATCCGGATCGGGATCCCCCATTCCCAGGAGAATTCCCGGGATCCCAAATCCCCGGGAAGGGCAGGGATCCGGATCAGGGCCCCCATTCCCGATCCCGAGATCCCAATTCCGGATCAGAGACCCCATTCCCAGTGGGATCATCCCAGTCCCAGGATCCCAAATCCCTGGAAAAAAGCGGGAACCAGATCAAGGGCCCCATTCCAGATCCGGGAATCCCAAATCCAGATCCAGGACCCCATTCCCGATCCCGAGATCCCAAATCCGGATCAGAGACCCCATTCCCAGTGGGACTGTCCAAATTCCAAGATCCCAAATCCCTGGAAAAAAAGGGACCCCATTCCCAGTCCCAGGATCCTAAATCCCTGGGAAGAGGAGACCCCATTCCCACTGGGAATCTGGGCATGGAGATCCCTCTGGATCCTGATCCCGGGATCCCAAATCCAGATCGGGGTCCCCCATTCCCGGCAGAATTCCCGGGATCCCAAATCCGGATCGGGATCCCCCATTCCCAGCGGAATTCCCGGGATCCCAAATCCCCAGGAAGGGCAGGGATCCGGGTCAGGTCCCCCATTCCCAATCCCGAGATCCCAATTCCGGATCAGAGACCCCATTCCCAGTGGGATCATCCCAGTCCCAGGATCCCAAATCCCTGGAAAAAAGCGGGAACCAGATCAAGGGCCCCATTCCAGATCCGGGAATCCCAAATCCAGATCCAGGACCCCATTCCCGATCCCGAGATCCCATATCCGGATCAGAGACCCCATTCCCAGTGGGACTGTCCAAATTCCAAGATCCCAAATCCCTGGAAAAAAAGGGACCCCATTCCCAGTCCCAGGATCCTAAATCCCTGGGAAGAGGAGACCCCATTCCCACTGGGAATCTGGGCATGGAGATCCCTCTGGATCCTGATCCCGGGATCCCAAATCCGGATCAGAGACCCCATTCCCAGCAGAATTCCCGGGATCCCAAATCCCCGGGAAGGGGAGGGATCCGCATCAGGGACCCCATTCCCGATCCACGGATCCCAAATCCAGATCCGGGACCCCATTCCCAGTGGGACTGTCCAAATTCCAAGATCCCAAATCCCTGGAAAGAGAGGGATCCGGGTCAGGATCCGCATCCCCAATCCTGGGATCCCAAATCCAGATCTGGGACCCATTCCCAGATCCAGGAATCCCAAATCCCTGGGAAGAGCAGGGATCCAGATCAAGGACCCCATTCCCAATCCCGGGCTTCCAAATCCCTGGGAAGAGCAGGGATCCAGATTGGGGACCCCATTCCCGGCAGAATTCCCAGGATCCCAAATCCCTGGGAAAAAAGGGACCCCATTCCCGATCCCAGGATCCAAAATCCAGATGGGGGCCCCCATTCCTGATCCCGAATCCCAAATCCCTGGAAAAAAGAGGGATCCGGATCAGGGGCCCCATTCCCAATCCCGGGATCCCAAATCCATGGGAAAAAAGGGACCCCATTCCCACTGGGAATCTGGGCATTGAGATCCCTCTGGATCCTGATCCCTGGATCCCAAATCCGGATTGGGATCCCCCATTCCCAGCGGAATTCCCAGGATCCCGAATCCCCGGGAAGGGGAGGGATCCGGATCAGGGCCCCCATTCCCGATCCTGAGATCCCAATTCCGGATCAGAGACCCCATTCCCAATCCTGGGATCCCAAATCCAGGTCGGGATCCCCCATTCCCAGCAGAATTCCCGGGATCCCAAATCCCCGGGAAGGGGAGGGATCCGCATCAGGGACCCCATTCCCGATCCACGGATCCCAAATCCAGATCCGGGACCCCATTCCCAGCAGAATTCCCAGGATCCCAAATCCGGATTGGGATCCCCCATTCCCGGCAGAATTCCCAAGATCCCAAATCCAGATCGGGGTCCCCCATTCCCGGCAGAATTCCCGGGATCCCGAACCCCGGTTAGGGGAGGTTTGGGGTGTTGGATTCCCGGGATTCCGGGGCTGACCCCGGCCGGGATCGGGCGCGTTCCAGGCCCTACGGGAAGGACATCCCGAGGTTCCGGTACTGGGAACTCTACGAGGGAATCATGAGGAAACACGGAGGGAGACCCCACTGGGCCAAGGTACCGGGGGAAAAAAACCGGGAATGGGCCGGGAAAACCGGGAATGGGCTGGGAAAAACTGGGAATGGGCTGGGAAAAACTGGGAATGGAACCAAAAGACTGGGAATGGCATGGGAAAACCGGGAATGGGCCGGAAAAACCGGGAATGGGCCGGGAAACACCTGGAATGGGCTGGGAAAAACACTGGGAATGGAACCAGAAAGACCGGGAATGAGCCAGGAAAAACACCAGGAATGGGCCGGGAAACACCAGAAATGGATCGGGAAAACCAGGAATGGGCCGGGAAAACCAGGAATGGGCTGGGAAAAACTGGGAATGGAACCAAAAGACTGGGAAAGAGCTGGGAAAACCGGAAATGGGCCGGGAAAAACACTGGGAATGGGCTGGGAAACACCGGGAATGGATCAGGAAACACCGGGAATGGGCTGGGAAAAACACCGGGAATGGAACCAGAAAGACCGGGAATGAGCCAGGAAATGGAACCAGAAAGACCGGGAATGAGCCAGGAAAAACACCAGGAATGGCACGGGAAAACACCGGGAATGGATCAGGAAACACCGGGAATGGATCGGGAAACACCAGGAATCAGCTGGGAAACACCGGGAATGGCACAGGAAAACCGGGAATGGATTGGGAAAACCGGGAATGGGCTGGGAAAAACACTAGAAATGGCACGGGAAAATCAGGAACGGATCAGGGAAACACCGGGAATGGGCCGAGAAAACCAGGAATGAGCCGGGAAAAACACCGGGAATGGGCTGGGAAACACCGGGAATGGCACAGGAAAACTGGGAATGGATCGAGAAACACCGGGAATGGATCAGGGAACACTGGGAATGGGTTGGGAAAAACACCAGGAATGGCACAGGAAAACCAGGAATGGATCGGGAAACACTGGGAATGGGCTGGGAAAAACTGGGAATGGATCAAGGAACACCAGGAATGGCCCAGAAAAACTGGGAATGAGCCAGGAAAAACACCGGGAATGGATCGGGAAAAGCGGGAATGGATCAGGGAAAACCGGGAATGAGCCGGGAAACACCGGGAATGGATTGGGAAAAACCGGGAATGGATGGGGAAAACCAGGAATGGGCTGGGAAAAACCGGGAATGGAACCAGAAACACCGGGAATGGATCGGGAAACACCGGGAATGGCACGGGAAAACCGGGAATGGGTCAGGAAAACCAGGAATGGATCAGTGAAAGACCAGGAATGGATTGGGAAAACCAGGAATGGATCAGGAAAACACTGGGAATGGGCCACAAAAACCGGGAATGAGCTGGGAAAAACACCGGGAATGGATCAGGAAACACTGAAAATGGATCTGGAAAACCAGGAATGGATCGGGAAAACTGGGAATGGGCTGGGAAAAACCGGGAATGGAACCAGAAACACTGGGAATGGGCTGGGAAACACCAGGAATGGATCGGGAAAACCGGGAATGGATCAGGGAAACACCGGGAATGGATCAGGGAAACACCAGGTATGGCACCGGAAAACCAGGAATGGATTGGGAAAACCAGGAATGAGCCAGGGGAACACTGGGAATGGAACCAGAAACACCAGGAATGGATCGGGAAACACCGGGAATGGGCTGGGAAAAACTGGGAATGGGCAGGGAAAAACTGGGAATGGAACCAAAAGACTGGGAATGGCATGGGAAAACTGGGAATGGGCCGGGAAAAACACTGGGAATGGGCTGGGAAACACAGAAAGACCGGGAATGAGCCAGGAAAAACACCAGGAATGGCACGGGAAAACACCGGGAATGGATCGGGAAACACTGGGAATGGGCCGGGAAAACCAGGAATGGGCTGGGAAAAACTGGGAATGGAACTAGAAAGACCGGGAATGAGCTGGGAAAAACACCGGGAATGGGCTGGGAAAATCAGGAATGGATCAGGAAACACCGGGAATGGGCCAGAAAAACTGGGAATGGGCAGGGAAAAACTGGGAATGAGCTGGGAAAACCGGGAATGAGCCAGGAAAAACACCGGGAATGGATCAGGAAACACCAGGAATGGATCAGGGAAACACCAGGAATGGATCAGGGAAACACCGGGAATGGATCAGGAAACACCGGGAATGGATTGGGAAAACCGGGAATGAGCCAGGGGAACACCGGGTATGGCACCAGAAACACCGGGAATGGATCGGGAAACACCGGGAATGAGCCAGGAAAAACACCGGGAATGGGCCACAAAAACCGGGAATGGCACCGGGAAAACCGGGAATGGGCTGGGAAACACCGGGAATGGATCGGGAAAAACACCGGGAATGGCACGGGAAAACCAGGAATGGCACGGGAAACACCGGGAATGGGCTGGGAAAAACCGGGAATGGATCAAGGAACACCGGGAATGGCCCAGAAAAACTGGGAATGAGCCAGGAAAAACACCGGGAATGGATCGGGAAAACCGGGAATGGATCAGGGAACACTGGGAATGGATCAGGGAAACACCGGGAATGGATCAGGGAAACACCGGGAATGGATTGGGAAAAAGCAGGAATGGATGGGGAAAACCGGGAATGGGCTGGGAAAAACCGGGAATGGAACCAGAAACACCAGGAATGGATCAGGGAAACACTGGGAATGGCACGGGAAACACCGGGAATGGATCAGGGAAACACCAGGAATGGATTGGGAAACACCGGGAATGGGCCGGAAAAAACAGGAATGAGCAGGGAAAAACTGGGAATAGCACCGGAAACACCGTGAATGGGCTGTGAAACACCGGGAATGAGCCAGGAAAAACACCGGGAATGGCACCAGGAAAACCGGGAATGGATCAGGAAACACCGGGAATGGATCGGGAAAAACACCGGGAATGGCACGGGAAAACCAGGAATGGATCGGGAAACACCGGGAATGGGTCGGGAAAAACACCGGGAATGGGTCGGGAAAAACACCGGGAATGGGCTGGGAAAACCAGGAATGGATCAAGGAACACCGGGAATGGCACCAGGAAAACACTGGGAATGGGTCAGGGAACACCTGGAATGGGTCTGGGAAACACCGGGAATGGCACGGGAAAACCAGGAATGGATTGGGAAAACCAGGAATGAGCCAGGGGAACACTGGGAATGGCACCAGAAACACCAGGAATGGATCGGGAAACACCGGGAATGGGCCGGAAAAAACAGGAATGAGCTGGGAAAAACTGGGAATAGCACCGGAAACACCGGGAATGGGCTGGGAAAAACCGGGAATGGGTCAAGGAACACCGGGAATGGCATGGGAAAACTGGGAATGAGCCAGGAAAAACACCGGGAATGGGCCACAAAACCCGGGAATGGCACCGGGAAAACACCGGGAATGGGTCAGGGAACACCCGGAATGGATCGGGAAACACCGGGAATGGCACGGGAAACACTGGGAATGGGCTGGGAAACACCGGGAATGGAACCAGAAAGACCGGGAATGAGCCAGGAAAAACACTGGGAATGGCACGGGAAAATCAGGAATGGATCAGGAAACACCGGGAATGGGCTGAGAAAACCAGGAATGAGCCGGGAAAAACACCGGGAATGGGCTGGGAAACACCGGGAATGGCACAGGAAAACCGGGAATGGATCGAGAAACACCGGGAATGGATCAGGGAACACTGGGAATGAGCCAGGAAAAACACCGGGAATGGATCTGGAAAACCGGGAATGGCACCAGGAAAACACCAGGAATGGATCAGGGAAACATCGGGAATGGATTGGGAAAAACCGGGAATGGATGGGGAAAACCGGGAATGGAACCAGAAACACCGGGAATGGATCAGGAAACACCGGGAATGGGCCACAAAAACCGGGAATGGGTCGGGAACACCGGGAATGGATCGGGAAAACCGGGAATGGATCGGGAAACACTGGAATGGGTCGGGAAAACTGGGAATGAGCCGGGAAAAACACCGGGAATGGCACAGGAAAACCAGGAATGGATCAGGAAACACTGGGAATGGATCGGAAAACACCGGGAATGGATCAGGGAACACCGGGAATTATCCCGGGAAAATTGGGATTGATGCAAATCCCTGGAAATGGAAGGAGGGATTATTTTCCAAAGGGAAACTGAGGCACGGGAAAGGGAATGGGATCCCAGGGAAAAAAAAAAAAAGGGAAAAATTCCTTCCTGAGTATTCCCAGATTTGGGAAAATTGGGAATTTTGGATGGAAAACGATCCCAATCCCAGAAAATGGGGTTTTTCCGGAGGGAAACTGAGGCACGGGAAAGGGATTTTGGGGAAAAAAAGGATAAAAAATGGGAAAAATTCTTTCCTGAGCATTCCCAGATTTTGGGAAAATTGGGATTATCCCGGGAAATTGGGAATTATCCCAGGGAAACGCGGATTTATCCCAGGAAAACGGGAATTTGTGCAGGAAAAAATGGGAATTTTCCCCAGAAAACCGGGAATTTCTTCCGGGAGATTTTTTTCCCCTGAAAATCAGGAATTTCTCCCCAAAAAAATGGGAATTTTCCTCAAAAAAATTGGGATTTTTTCCCCCTGAAAATCAGGAATTTTCCCCGGAAAAATGGGAATTGCCCCGGGAAAATCGGAATCGCCTTCCCGTGCCTCAGTTTCCCTCCGGAAAAAATCCCTCCCTTTTTCCCAGGATTGGGATCGATTTCCAAGGGAAAAATCCCAAATTTGGGAATTCTCAGGATGGAATTTTTCCCGAATATCTTGGGGGGGTTTTTTGGGGGGATCCCCTTTCCCGTGCCTCAGTTTCCCCTCTGGAAAAATCCCTCCCGTTTTCCTGGATTGGGAAAAATTTTCCCATTAAAAATCCCAATTTTTCCCAAATCTGGGAATGCTCAGGAGGGGATTTTCCCCATTTTTTTTCTTATTTTAGGGATTTTTTACCCCCGTGCCTCAGTTTCCCTCTGGAAAATCCCTCCCAATTCCCAGGATTTGGGATCGATTTCCATGAAAATTCCCAATTTTTCCCAAAATCTGGGAATGTTCACGAAGGAATTTTTTTCCCGTTTTATTTTCTTATTTTCGGGATT